ATCTATGATGAAAAATAGAAGAAAGTTACACTTGGTTCGCTACACTGTCTTCTATTCTGAGTCATGTCTGAAAACGCCTGAATCGATTAGGTTACGTTATCTCAAAAACCTCAATCAAGAAGTTGTAAAGAACCAACAAATACGGGTTCTGTACAGCTGTCTTTTATACAGTGACCATTTTTCCACTTTTTCCACTCGATCTTAGCGTCTGAAAATAATGAACAATGCGGAATTCACCGGAACGATATTCATAGGAAATGTTCATATCATCAAAGTCAGTGTTAGAATATGACACTAATCGAATTAATGTCACTGTACCCGAGCGCGTGGGTTGCTGAACCTTCAGCATTTAAACATCTACTTAGATAAATGAACTTCTTGACTACTTCTAATTACCCACCATCAAGATTGATTAAAGGTACAGGGTTCTCACAGTCCTGTGAAAGTACCTTGAGCCTAGAAAGTGAAGATCAACTACTTGAGTGAGGAGATCGAAAATGTGAAGAAAGCTTTATTGACCAAAGCTGAATCAAAAATATGTATCCACGCATTCATAAATATATATCCTTCTTCCCGAGAAAATAAAACCACATTATCAATCAATGATTTGCCTTTCTTTTGAAAATGAAACCAAATTTTGTCCAATGGTATCCGCTTGTCTTTTAGCCTATATCTGACTGACCAAAGTTACCAAGTATACTTTAAAAAAAACACTAACCAATTCACTGTCATAGACATTAGAATATACATTCTGAAATGTAGATGTTTGTAGGAAGCGTCAATTTTACTAACCTCTTCCTTATCATGGTTAATATGTCTACCAAGCTAAGTGAATTGGTTCTTCAAACTGGTCCCATTTCTACTTCTTAATCTATTTCTTTGAGTGTACCAATACACACGTAATATGTGAATTACATGAAGTAATGTAATAGACAAATTACATATTACTGAACTTATCTTTAGATTCTCATCCCACCTGAAAATACAAATCTTGATCATATCTTGATTGACTTTTTATTATTCCTAACGCAATTATTATAAATATACCACTATCTACCTTAAGAGATATTTTTGGGTACAGGAATTTTTGTATATTTGTATTGAACTCCAAATTAGATTCTCATAGAATGAATAGAATAGTAACTCAACCTAGTTGTATGTAACCAGAGCTTCTTGAATACCCTTCGCTTTTTTTAAGAATCAAGAATACTAGATATTATCTGATTAGGGAATTTAATAGTTGAATTCATGAGTTGATCTAAGCTAGATCATCATGGAAAACCTGAAAGCAGTGAATGGCCGTTTCGTTCTAGTATTTGACTCCTCCATGACAGTGTGCATCCATGATCTTACACTCGAGATTCGAACCTATGACTTTCGGTCTCGTGTGCGAACAATTGACATCTAGACCACTAAGCCGACATCCAACGGTGTTCATGTCTAAATTCAACCAATCTATGAAATCGCACCACCGTCTACCATTATCTTCAGTGAGTTACTACCTCATAACATATGAAACAGCCATCCAGTGTTTCCAGGTTTTTCAAGGTGGTCTATCTTCAGTTGACTGATGATCTCAACTATTGAAATTACTATATTATCGACAAAACCCTCTTCTGATGCTAATTTTCTTTTAACCTGTCTAAAACGTTAAGAAATATACTTAATTTTGATTGGTTCAATAAATGAAAAAAACAAACAAACTGATCAATAAAATTATTTTAAACAAACACACAAATTGTAAATTTATATGATCGATCTAAAATATCGATCTTTATTGATCACTTTTTTATTGATCGATACTATTAATAGTTAAATGAAACAATTCATAAACTGTATCCATCTATTGTCAATATAGTTTAAAAGAAACAATTTGGGTTCGAATCTCGCGGGGGGCGGGGTCGTGGATGGGCACTGTTGAGGAGTCCCATACTAGGACTAAACGGCCGTTCAGTGCTTCCAAGTTTTCCATGGTGGTCTAGCTTCAATTGACTCATGATTTCAACCAATGAAATTCGAAGAAAATAAGGAGAGATTATAATTTATGGACGAGCTTCTAGCGATGCTAAACTGACCTTAAAAGTGTTTATGTTATAACGTGAAAAAATAAATGCTGATTAAGGGATAGCGAATTATTGATCGGACCAAAGACGCGCAAACACGTAGAACGACCTAGGGTTCTGATTGGTCTCGCTTCCCTGTATAGCCCAGCCAATTGAGTCCAGAACGCAAGTCACAGCCTCGGATATATGAATACTTATATTTTAAACATACTTTGTTTATATACCAGTCAAGCAGACCACAACGTACCATAAAATAGAAGATAACATTGTACAGTAATGGCCAACAGGAAAATAACACGTCAAATAAATATTGACCAATAAGATGATACGATTTCATGTCCAAGGATAGCATTAGGCTTAACAGGATAATTTTTGGGATATTTTCCTGAATATCCCAACAGTTTACCTACTTACTACGGCTAAATGAAGGTTATAAAGCAGTTTGAAGAATAAGGACTACAATTCACAATTGATGGTTAGGGCTAGGAATTAGGTTTAGGGTTTTCATTATGAACTGACATCAGCGATAATGCCAAGACGCTATTTAGCCGAATAGGTGAATGAATTTTGCATGAAAATCTAAGAGCTGTTATCGTAAATCTAATTGTTTCATTCATAAATTATAGTCTCGCCGAAAATTAGAACCTTTCACTTGATTGATGATTTGTAGTGAACGAGAGCACAAGCAGGGACAATCGAATGACAAAATTACAGAATCTCTTGGTAAAATCTGAGAATTCTACAGTAAATACTTCATTTGTAAAATGTCAATCAATTGTCTTAGACTTCACTATCCCTTTATTTCCATACCGATTACTTTCTGTTCCCGTTCTTTTCTCCTCGATCTTCTTGATCTACTGCTACCAGACAGTCTATTTCTGACTAGCGTTAAATACTATTTATGTTGATATAAGTAGTATACCCTACACATTCACACATTAGCATGATATTTTCGGAACAAGTTGTAAACAATTCAAATTATACACATTCAGAGCATCTATCGATTAATTTAGCTTACGTGTAGTGATTATTTCAACTTAACATTCACCCATCATGTATACGTTGTGTAAAAATGATCATTGTAAAATGACAACAGCTTTCTTATCATATTTTTTTATTCTACAACATAATAAAGAGTTTTGACAGACTGTAATGTTCCAACTCATTAAAAATAAAAATAAACCAAACGCTTCAATTTAATTTCAAAGACTTCTAAACTAATATCAAGATTCTATCGTTTTTAATATATTATCTTAATAGTTGAATGCATGAATTAATCTAAGTTAGATCGTTATTAAAGAAGTGGAGTCATTGGATGGCTGTTTCGTCCTAGTATGGAACTCTTCAACAGTGTGCATTCATGATCGCTCATCTCACAAGATCGAAGGTTCTGGATTCGAATCGGTTGCGCAAGATCATGGATGCACACTGTTGTAGTATCCTATACTAGGATGAAACGGCCATCCAGTAATTTCAAGTTTTCAATAATGATTTAATTTAGATTGACTCAACTCATAAAATGATTACAATCTCCACAAAACCCTTATTCTGATAATCACATATTATTCACTAGAAATGTTCGACTGTAGCTGCTACCTTGACGCGGTGGTCGGGTTTACCTATCGTGATGAGGCAACCGAGCTATATTGACTGGAATATATGTTCTTGTAGGTTCTACCATGCCAGGCAGGTCGATTGGAGAACGGTAAAACCGAAAGCAGCAACTCAAGGTCTGAGGGCGAAGTCGTACTGGTGACTGTAGAGGGGTGTGACAGCAGTAAGATATTTCCCTCGGACAATCAGCATCTGCAGCGATGCTGTCTTCCCACAAGGAGGGGTGGGGTTAAAAAAGGTCGACCCTAAAAATGTCACACCTCACCTTACCTCACGGATTTCCGTCTCCGGCGGTAAGGCCCTTTGAAGAACGGAGCTAACACGTCAAAAACCTCCCACAAAAAGGCTGTGCGCGACCGGCCTCAAGCAGTTGTCCCTTTGGCTCTGCAATCACACTCCCAGGTCGTTAAGGCCGACATTAATCAGACTTCTTTTTCAGGTTCCTCAAGAAATACCCTTCCACGGTGTGGGCAGCCGGGAAGTGACATCAGCCTTCATACCCGTAACAGCACATTTGTCCAATTTCAATGACATTGTAAACTCTTTAAACTTATTTTGTAAACAAATTTTGTCGGTCAATTTATGCAATAAATAGTGAACAATAGAAATGGATAAATGAATAGATAAATAAACAATTAACCTAGTCAATGATATTAACCTTCTCATGCATCAAAACATACATATAAAATGTATTTGGTAAATAAACAACAAAGTCTTAATCTGACAAACAAAGTAAAAGTAAAACGAAAAAGAGAAAAACAACCATTTTGACAAATAAATTTTCTTCTTTTTTTCTTCTATTTTATTTTCTTTCTTCATATACACTACCCTATCATATGACATTTCAGCTGATGATACTAATGTGATATAGTCACATGTCTGTTCGTATGTGTATGCATTGTAATTATTGTCAAGTGTTCATTAGTAACGTAATTGAAATTCTAAAGAAAAAAAAAGAAAAAAAAGCCACAACAATAATGATAATACTTTAGTCATAGTGATTATAAGACTTTGTTGCTAAGTAACAGTGAGTAGTTGTAACCTTATTGTATTGATTATATATATATATATATATATAAAGTTAAAAATGTATCTTTTCATTACATATATATCACATATACACGCTCACACATGTTTACCAACTTTCATTTATATGTATATATAGAATAGTATAAATGAATAGTTAAGATTCTACTGTTGTTGTATACACTTGACAACAACATCAATATCATTTGACTAATAAGAAAGGAAATAATTTTTATTGAATATTTCTTATTATATATAACCTATATTCATTGTAATTATTTTCTTATTGAATGTTATATGGGGTCAAAAATAATTGCATTGATTGTATGTTTACCATTATTACTATTATTTATTGCATTGGGACTTGCAATTTTCTATTGTCTACGTTCAAGAAAACGTATTAGTAAGTTTACTATGATAATTTTATTCTTAATTTATTTTATTGCCATGTTTTACATTTATGTTGAATAATATCAGTGATTGAATTCAAGATAAGATGGACAGTTTGTCAGTCAGTCAGTCAGTCAGAATACAGTGATCTTGAGTGCTGTTAGAGATATGAGGGCGGTTATCAGTTCCCGGTTGCCCAAACCGTGAAAGGGTTCTTTTGGAGGTACATAAAAAAGAAATTGAATTAGAGGTGGTCTTAGTGACCTGAGAGCGTGACCACAGTGCTCAAGGGACAACTGCCTGAGGTCGGTCACACACGACTTTTTTATGGGTAATTTTTGTGTTAGCTCCATACTTCTTGAGACGATACTACCGGAGAAGTATATTTCTGGGATAAGGCGAGGTCTGCATTTTTAGGGTCGATCTTTTCTAACCCCCCCCTTCGTAGGAAGGCAGCATCGCTGTTCTGCTGGTTGTCTGAAGGAAACCCCTTACTGCTGTCACACCTCTGTACAGTCAGCAGCATGACTTCGCCTTTGGAACTTTGGTTTGTTGCTTTTAGTGTTACCGTTCTTCAGTGGACCAGTCTGGGATGGTAGGACCTTGATGAACGGTTGTTCCAGTCAGTATACCTTGGTTGCTTCATCACGATAGGCAAGCCCGACCACCACGTCAAGGTAGAAACAACGGTCGGAGGATAGTTTGTAGTTAATAAAGAATTGAGTAAATATTGTTTATATTTAATTATTATCGTGTTGGTCAGTCAGTCACAACTTAGAACTTCTTACATACGTATACCAGTTCGAGTTGTCATACCACATTAGCACAGAGATGCAGTTGTCGATTCAAATCCCGTAGTGGTAGAGGTAGCAAGAGTATAAGTATAATCGGGAAGATTAAAGTTTGGAGGTGTCATTCAAGAAATATAATCCAGTGAAATAAATTTGGAAAGAGAAAAAATAAATGGACATGAAGAATTCAGAAGATTATAATTTGGGAGAACACAGATAGTGGATGCACCTGCGCCATTGCAAACGATTTTGAACCATGTCATTCAAAGTCTCTAACCATCGGTTGCTATCATCTCGTGGTCCCCAACCAGGTAGTCTACACCTACCAACATGACTCAGTCCACTTGTCAGTGACTTCATGGATTTGTGATATGTTTTTGTCTGGCCGCCTCTAGCTTTCTTCCAACCTACTCCTATACCACTGAACATAGCACGTCGAGACAGTCGGTCGTTGGGCATACGTAACACGTGTCCCAGCCATCTCAACTGATTAGGTTTCACTACTTCATCAGTTGATTTGCCATCCTTACCTAGTACCTGTTTCTTAACAACTGCGTTATTTAATAGGTGGTCCCAGGATATACGAGCAATATTTCGAAGACACCTATGATCAAATACTAGTAACCTACGGATATCCTCTACTCTTACCGGCCATGTTTCACTGCCATAAGGTAGGACGGAACGAACTGCTGCTCAGTTCGTTGGCCGTTCCGTCCTACTTTGGGACTCCTCCGTGGTAGTACGCATCCGCGATCCCGTCTCGCGAGATTCTAACTCAGGACCTATCAACCTCGCAAGAGAGCGCTTAACCATTAGACCACTGAGCCAGTCGGCATTCAACGATGTTAATGTCTAACATCTACTAATCCACGAAAATTTAGCATCACATCTACCATTGTCTTCAATGAGTTACTATCTCACAACAGACGCGATTGAACTGCATTGGTCACTGCTTCTTACTAGAACTCCAGGAAATACCTCGTGGTCACCGCCACTAGTGAGTATATGTTATTTAATATCAGAAGGGGTTTTGTGGATATTATAGTAATTTTAATAGTTGAGATCATGAGTCTATTGAAGCTAGACCCTAACTGTTAAAATTACTATAATATCTGCAAAACTTTCTGATATTTTTAAGATGTTTGATGAAATTAACAAACATATCAGTTGTGTACGCACACAACAGATACAATTTCAGTGTAAAAGCCAAATTACAAAAACACTTGCTACTGATGTATATTGTATATTTAGAATATTTTTTACATCTTGAATGTCACAATTGATTGATCACTGGGTGGTGATCAGTGTCATGCTTGTCTAGTCCTTATTAGTGCAGATCGAATGCTATCGATCATGTTGCAATGTGGCCACTAGTCTAGGTGACTCGACACTGCGGACACTATGTATTGAGATTTAGATGGTGGTTGGTCCTACAGGAGGTTAGTCACGGCTCGGATAGCTCAGTGGTAACGTCTCTGACTGTGAAGCTGGGTGACACGAGATAGAATCCGCCAGGGAGCACCAGTTCCCTCATGATTACAGGTACACCTTGCTGACGAGTGCCAAGTAGCACGAAACCCGGGTCCAGGGTTTCCTGTTGACTACCTCCAACCACCATCTACATCTTGAATGTACTTGATGTGATTCAAGGCGTAATCAAGACTTTTTGTAAGGGTCTACAAATGTCACCAATATATGATAATCTAATCAATGTATGTTAAATGCAATCAGTGAAAACCATCCATCCAAATGATTGAAGAGTATATAGATTATAATCATCGGATCATCATTCGTAAGTGTTATTTCATCGATCCTACAACTAATGTCTATACTCAATAATGTTGAGAACAATACAATCACGATTAAACGACGAGCAACTACTTTACAAAGTTTTTAGTATTAAAATGAACTGAAGTTACGTATACGACTTTCTGTACCATATATAAGTTGATTTTAATACCGATGAATCTTTTGTGTTTTCTGTAATCAATTCATTTATATTACTTACATTCTAATTAGTTCAAGTGTCATTCAAGGTTGTCACTATTGTAAATCTTATTCAAGATGAAAGATGTGAATGACTATCACTGGGAAAGATGTAATGGTAGGAGAAATTACTACAAAATTATCTAACCCATAACTAGCACCTGATACAATTGATTTGAGAATACGGTCAATATTTCTTATTTTATATTGTATCCATTGAAGTATCAATGAGTAATTGATCCATAATGGTTTTCAATTGATTGGATGAGCTTTATGATAGTTTTGACTTTATACTTTGTTATGAGATATCAGTAAAGAATGTTTTCCTTATTATCAAAACTAACATTTTCGAATGAATATGAAGGTTGTGAAGGTTATCAACTTTTATTGAGATGATGAACCAATCCATTTTAGACTATCATTAAAAACCTGGAAGCATCGGATGGTCATTTCTTCCTGATATGAGGTTACTCATCTGTGAGTATTCATGATCCCGTATCTAGGAATCGAACCCATGGCCTTAGGTCTCGAGTGAACTCTTAACCTCTAGATCACTGAGCCGGAATTTAACAGTGTAAATGTCTAAATTCAACCAGTCCACAATGTTGCAGGACCATTTTTCAGAATGTTCGGTGGGTAACTGCAGCACTTCTGATTGATGAACAGATGTATCACAAAATACTATATGATTTTGAAGTAGTACATCTGTAGATCAGATACTATTCTTATCCAAATACTTTTCTCAAATAAACCAAATAGAATATTTTATAAATAGGATGTAAATTCAAAACACACATAAAACACCATATTTCATTTCCTAGTCATTTATGGTCGACATCGTGTGTGTAATGTTCTGATACTTGGCAATTAAAGGTAGCCACTAGGAAACTCAGATTCTGACCGCTAAACAAACCTAGATGAAACAGCGTTTCCTGTTGACTGCCTCCAATCAGCTGACATATTTTTAATACAACTTTCAGTAAATGCTATCACTAGGATTCAAAGAAAAATAAACAACTTTTCAATATTACACTATTGGAATAAATGTTCAACAAGGCACGAATCTATGAAGTCACAGATACGTGAACTAAGCCATGTTGTTAGGTGTAGATTATCTGGTTGGGATCCGCGAGATGATAACAATCCATGGTTAGACACCTTGAATCACATGGCTCAAAATCGTGTACAATGGCGCAGGTGCATACACTCTTTATGTTCTCTCAGATATATAATCTTCTGAATTCTTCATGTCCCTTTATTTTTTCTCTTTCCAAATTTATTTCACTGGATTATACTCCTTCAATAACATCTTCAAGCCCTAATCTTTCGGATTACTGCTTATACTTTTACTACCTCTACTACTATGGGACTTAGATCGATAATTGTATTTGTGTGCTAATGTGATATGGTAACTTGAACTGATGTACATACGAAGTTCTTCGTTGTTTATGACTGACTGACTGACTCAACACATGTAACTCATATTATAAAAGAGCTAATCTAGGATTGTTGTCTTTATCGCAATCTAATTTTTACCGAATATTCTTAATGTTATGAACTACAATTTAGTTGATATCAGTTGAGAAGATGTAGCACTCAAAATCTCAATTAATAATTGTCTCTAGTCTAATTGTACTGTCTCATCTAAAGACTAACGTCCTAAGATTTGACCAATCACACACTTTGACTAGGAACGAATAATTATGAGATCAAGCTGATATAATCTTAACTTTTATTATTATGTCAAATAAGAGAATACAAGAGGTAAACTTCTATTATTGTCTTCTTCAAGAATTTATAGATTGGTGCGCATTAATTATCAGACTGTAACATACTTGAAATTATAAATCATACTTTACACACAATCAAGTTAATATGTGAAATAGAATAAAGAAAAATGTAAATCATTAACAATAATGAAGGAATAATGAGATGTATAACAATAGTTAGTTGGTCCAAAAGGAAGCATACCATACAGGAAATAGAATCGACTAGTTGTTTAATAATAATAATATTCATACATTATTATAAGTTTTCTGATAATAATCATCATTTGCTCACTAGTGACTGGCGTCAAGATGGATTTTCTGGAGTTGTTGTGATAAGTCGTGACTAGTGGAGTTCAACCGAGTCTGTCGTGAGATAGTAACTCACTAAAGACAATGGTGTACAGTGGAACAGTTTCGTGAATAGGTTAAAGTTAGACATTAACATCGTTGGATATCGGCTGGCTCAG